CTTAACCCTATCCACTCAGAGAGTCCAGATCTAAATGTGATTCAGATCTGGAAACCTCCTAAAGAGATTAGGAGATGGCTAATCTAATCTACAGATAAGATAAGGGTTTACCCTTATCACTTAAAGGGAATTCTGATCCAAATATGATTCGGATCAGCAAATCCTAATGGGATTAGGATCTGATCCCTTTAAGGTTATAAAAGGAGGAGGGGGCGGCAGCCTTTATACACACTAGTTCACCACCTGTCTTCAGAGCTGAAATCCCAAAAGAGAAAATTCAACACATCTGCGAAAATTCTCTCTTGCCGCCTCCTTCCTGTTGTCGCCTCACCTGCCAGTTCGATCTCCAGTTCAGTAGGAGAAATCAAGATTGGATCTTCATATCAGTTCCTTGTGAAGGGACTGATAGGAAGCTGTGTTCACGTGTCGTCCTGCTAATTCTTGCAGGATTAGGTTCTTGGGAAGAACAATGTTGATTCTGCTCCATCCTACACTGCGCCATGTTCAGTGGGAGCAGTCTTTGGATCTTTCCTTGGGCGTGAACACCTTCGTTGGGAGATTTTATTTCTCCGTATCAGGTATAACCCTCTCCTACTGCTTTTGTTCAGATCTGGTTCGATTTATGGTTCAAGATTGATCTTTGAAAAATATGATTTTTCTAAAATAGGGAATATGATTCCTAATAAGATGGAGAGAAATTTTTGAAATTCACCCATTCTATTCTGCAAGATTCGGGCATCCATACGATGGATATTCATCCCTTCAGTGGTATCAGAGCCAGGTTCAACTCTTGAACCAAATTGAATCAAATCTGAACCTGCGCAAACGGGCAAAAGTCGTTCTACCCGATTTGCGCAGATATAAAGTTTTTTTCTGGAAAATTTGTATCCAGTTGATGAGCGATTAATCTAAAATTAAATTTTATAAGTCTGATTATTATTTAGAATTGTTCTTTATAATTTTCTTGATTTTTTGGTTGTTCGTAGACATGGAGATCGAAATCTTGATTGGCGCAGGAAACCTGCAATTTTGTAGATTCTTGATTATTTTATTACATTTGGTCTGTAAAATAATTTTTTTTAGACTGAATGTATAGGCATTCGATCTGATGTAATTATAATAGAAATTTGGTTTTCTATTTATTTTATTGTTGGATCGAAGATGGCGGTGCAAGGAAGGAGATTTCGCAGATGGGAGAATCGCTATCTGCGATTTACAGTTTATGAAATTGCAAACTGTGATCTAACCTTTGTTTTGCAGGATGGATAGTGCGAACAGCCCTATCTGACTGATTCTTGAATTTCTTTTATCAGTATTTAATTTCAGATTAATTTCTTGAATTAAATCTTTAATTAAAAATCAAACCCTAGACCCATTCGAACCAAAATGGTCCAAACTGCTTGAACCGAATCTAGGGTTCGATCAAGACTGAATGTCAGCCCTAATTCTCCCTCTAATGGGCATAAGGATTGATAATTAATTGAATATTTAATTCGGCCCAACCTATAAAGGCCCAGTTTTAAGTTGTTAAAACTGCTAAAAACCCACTTTGTTGATAAAGCTATATGGACCAAATTGATCAACCCTAATTTCGGCCCATATACCTAGATAACATTAATGGTTAATATTATGGGCATTAAAATGGGCTTTACAGATATTAATTGATTGGATCAATTCTCCCCTACATGTGATGTATGGATGTGTGATGTGCTTCGTTCATGGGCCATAAGTGCTTGGCCCATGTTGATTCGATAGTGGCTCTTGCGCACACCATGGCTGAA